TGTGTGTGTGTGTGTGTGTGTGTGTGTGTGTGTGTGTTTACTGAATATAAGGAAAAAAATCAAAAAAAGAATAAAAACTGAATAAAAACTCACGACGAATTCTTTTGGGTAGAAGTACGAGTTATGCACCTTACTATGAATGCTAACACTCGCTCCTTGCGACAAACAAAATTTTACCAACAGAAATCGAAAACTTATCACTCTTCTATCCCCACAGTGATTTATGGACCACCAAATAAGAGATGCTGTTGTTGGGGTGACGTGGACTTCATTATCTTCGTATTCGCTTATCGCAAACGTTCTACTTGCGTTTCTGATCTGCAAAAGTAAAGACATGCGCAGATACACAAGGTACACTTACTTTATTACTGAAGGAAAGTATAGGTACATATTCAGCTATTGGATCGTAATCTCTTTTTCCTTGTGCGATACTGGAATGACAATAGTATCCTTCTGCTATCTTATTCCATCTGTTTTACTGGACGACGCATCTTCAGAGATCGAAGTCACTCTTGACTTTTACATGTCAATTTATGATATTTTTTGGTATACCGAAGTTATACACATTGCCTTAATGGCAATAAATAGGTTGGAGGTTCAAATCTGCGCTCACGACTTGTAAACGTACACTATACAGATTTGTATGCATCGTATATCCACCATATTATGCAGCTTTTTTCTCTCGCACTAAAACACTTCTTATACTTTGTATTAGCTATATCCTGGGATTCGCAATCAATTTTCCTACGGCCTTTCCAACCTGCTATATACTATGGAACACGCACTATTACCAGCCAATGTATGCTAACCCGGATGCATGGTGAGCTTTCGCTCAAGTATAGTGGTATTCAACTCAAGTCTTTGGATGAACGAAAGAGAGACAAGATTTAAGGCACTTTCGCGCATGCTCACAAAGATGATTTAAATGAATTTAGAACAAATTTTCGAAATATAAGACCTTTCTGAAATTATAAGACTTTGACTTCTATAGACGCTGCTCCTCTCTGCAATATCATGTATATATTGGCCATTGCATAGAAGTCTATGGAGAAGGAGAGAACGGTCGTGAAACGGTTTTCGATAAAAGATAAAAGATATTCCGGCAAAAGTTTTACATTTCGAACCATCATCATGGGACTTCATGAAACCATATACAATCTTATGCTAACCAGAATGCAAATATTCAAGGTTCCCCAGTTGTGTATTTCATTTTAAAGAATATCTTATACTCTTTTACAAGCACTGATATTATTATTAACTCTAACACTGTAATTGTTAAAGAATTTTTTTTACGCAAACCAACGTTACATGCCAAGAAAGTTTGCGATTAGGTCCAAGAAGTTTTACACCAACAATCAGCCCGATGTAATTGCTTGGTAATATTGACTGCCACGGTCACCAAGGGTCCCCGCTT